GTGGACCCACCATCGGCGTGAGTGATGTGGATCCTAAAGATTTCTTCGTAACCAACACGTCAGCAAACTCCTTGAGAAGGTAAGCTCTTGCATCAGAAGGGGACGTGTTAGTAGAGATAGGGAGTTCCTTCAACCTGTTGACATGGGTGACCTTTAAAATAGGTTTGGGGAATTCCTTGGAAATAATGGCCAACTCTTGACAATGGCCATTTGATAAAAGTGGAGTCGGGATCCCATCATGAACATCAATCCAGGCTGAGCAAGACTGCTTACCAAAGGTAAGAGTAGCCCAGAAAGATCCCAAAGCTGGAGCCATCTTGGAACCATCAGCTGTCAGTTTCGTTGTCTGAGGAGGGGGCTGTAGGTTGCTCCGGGGTATTCCCAAACTTGCTAAGTGTTGTGGACCAATTACTGAGACGTCAGCACTAGTGTCAGGCAACATCTGAAGACTGGATGACAAGTTACCGTGAGAAATGACGACACTGATGTGCTGGGGCGTCGTGTCTGTGGAACAATGTACACGACGGCAGGAACGACTGGGCACAGCGTCTTGATGCTTGCCAGAAGGAGGGGGAGTGCCAGCACTACCTGAGGATGACTTCTTGGATACTTGGTGGTGTCCTTTCTGTGTCTTCTTACGACAACATTTGTCATAATGGCCCACACGACCACAAAGTCTGCACTGAACTTTGCTAGCAGGGCACTTGACTGTGTAGGCCCAGTGACCCTGACGGTCGCAACTTCTGCACATGCTTTGAGCAGCTGGGCACTGGGAGGCATCATGCTGTCTCGCGCAGCTGTTACACAAAGCTGCTGCTGAAGGTGTAGCTGGAGGGTGAGGGGTGGGGTTACCTTGCTGCTTTCTACCCTTTCTGTAGGAAGACACCGCCCTCACCTGGTCAGGTTGTGAGCGTAAAGCTGAAGTCGCACACCTGGCGGCCTCGTACGCTCGACATATTGTAACAACATCTTGAAGAGAGGAAGTGGGGTCAAGTGAAATGAGACGTTGAACTAGCTCTTCATCTCGAATACCCGTTAAAATGATTGTCTTGAGTTATGTCTCTTCACAAACTTGAGAATTTCCAGGACAAACATCAACTTCCTCTGAACATCTTTTCAGTCTTACAAAAAATGCATCAAAAGATTCTCCATCAAGTTGCTTACATTGGAGGAGTTCTCTTCTTCTAAGTGCTTCGTTGCGCTGTCCCTTAACATGTTCCTGTAACTTGTCAAGCACGGCCTCTACAGTCAGAGTTGTCGTAGATGGCACTTGAAGTGTGTGCTCGAGAGTACGTTGTGTCTCTAAGGACAGGCACATACGAAGCTGTATCATCTGTTTAGGCTGTGGTAAACTTGACAGATCAACCATTGTTGCATAGTCTTGCCAACGTCGACGCCATTCCCGAAATATCTGATAAGAAGCGTCAGACTTCAGAGAGGGAGGCGTTTGTGCTGCAGCCTTTTGAGGAATTGTTGAACCGACTCTGAGAAATGAGGTACCAGTACCTCTAGTCGTATCAGCATTAGTAGCAGAAGAATCTTGTAGAGTAGATCGTTGTGGGGAGGCTAACAGGGAAATCAAGACTTCAAATCTGGCTTGATCCTCTCTTTTTCTCAGGTCATCCTCACTTCTACGTATATCTTCTAGTTCTCTGCGTCTTTGTTCATCTTCGTGGCGTCGTCTTTCAGACTCTTTGTACCGAATTTCTTCCTCTTCTCTCCTTGCAACATAGTCCTGGCGTCGAGAAGTTTCCATCCACTTAATCAGTTGAAGGAGATCTGTGGACGCAGGCACCGCAGGAGAGCTTGCTCGTGACGAACGAGGAGATTCTGCGGGTGATTGGGCATCGTCACTGTGGGGAGCGTGGGGCCTGAGTGTGGGTGGGGAGAGATCTCCCAAGCTTAAACTCATAACCCCATCGTCCAGGGTATCATTTTGATCCCTGTGAGACATGCTGACAGCTTCTGTACTCTATCTGTGCAAGAGACCGGGTCAACCCCTCGTAATCTATGCACAGAATTACAGAAGTCTAAAGTAATACGCAAGAATTTAATATAAAGTGGGCCTGTGAGTGCGTGTGTGTGTATGGCTCGTTGCCGGGAGGCTTGGCGCGCTGCCAGACGTAGAGGCAGCTGGGTGCAAGTCGAACCGAAGTTTGCTCGCTGCTCAGTCGCCCAATGACCGTAGGCGGGAGGGGTTGTACTGCTGGGCAGCTCTCTCAGTCATCTGACTGCAGTTTGCACAGACAATTCTGATTAAAATACACAACACAGCACTTCACAGAACACTTCACTTCACTGAACAGTACTGTACACAGCATAGCACTTTACAACACTGTAAGTCCTGAGACTTGTAGTCTGGCTGTAAATCCTTGGCGAAGCTGAAGACGAGACGCCATTAACACAGTCCGGCGGGAAGGCTAAGTTCACTGTGAATCTCACTGAGAAATCTCACTGCGCCATCTATGTTTGTCTTTGATACCCCCAAAATGTTCTACACTACGGAGGGTATACGCAAACACTTGTTATCTTGAAAATAGGTTCTTATTCTCGTACGGGAGATATACAGAGGAAACAAATAGACAGTGGGCTTCCACACCATAAGGACTAGCGATCTAAACTCTCTGTATCACTCTGCACTGGCATGTAGAAATGCCAGCATTCACAAGCTGAATACATAATATGTAAATATGATAATTCACATACAGTGGGGTATGCTATAACGAACGGATCCTACTACGAATATTCCTATAACGAACGGTTTTACCTATAAAATTGAGAATGCTATAACGAACGCAACTCCTACAACGAACGCGGATGAATACGGGACTATTTCGCCTGGCGCATGAATATTGTTGTACCGCGACCCACAACAAGAGCGTCAGGCGCCATCTTTGTCTCATTGTGTAGCCAGTGCACCACTGTTATTGTTGAAATTTCGTCTTTTGATGTGGAAATTCGCGTTATTTGTATAACTATTTTGTTATACAAGTATACAATTGTAACAATGAGTCGTCCAAAGCGAGTGAGAAAGCTAATAACCCTTGAAACTAAGAAAGAAATTGTAAAGAAACGTGAGAATGGAAGAAGCATTGCGAAACTTAGTGATGAATATGGGATGGCTAAATCGACTATATGTACGATTTTGAAGAATAAAGAGGAGTTAAAAACTGTGCAAGTGGCTAAGGGAATCTTTAGACTTAGCAAAGCAAAGTGTAATGTGATTGAAGAGATGGAAAATTTACTCTTAGTGTGGATAAAGGAGAAAGAAATGGCAGGTGGTAACATTAGTGAAGCTATAATTTGTGAGAAGGCTAAACAATTGTTTGAGGACCTTAAAGCCAAGACTCCCAGTGGAAGTGATAGTGATGTGCCAGTGTTTAGGGGTACCTGCATGCTGAATAACACTAAGGTAAGATAGAGTACCGTATTTTTTACATTTTCCACAGAATTTTTTCAGTGTTAAGTGGTTGTATTTGGGGGCCTGGAACGGATTAATCCTATAACGAACGAATGCTATAACGAACGAGGTTCTGGAACCAATTACGTTCGTTATAGCATACCCCACTGTACAGTGAACCCTCACTTTACGCGGTTAATTCAACCCACGGCGGCCCGCGTAAAGTGAGAAACACGTAAAGTGAACAACATAACATATGGGATTAATTGAAATATAGACCAGGCCGACCCCCAAACTCCACTTTTTCAGACACAATACCTACGTTGTAGTAAAAATAACTTCTTAATTTTATGATGGTATGCACACACAATTAATAATTGAGAGAAATATCAATAATATTAGGTTTTTTAACACTTACATTAGTAGAAAAGATGGCTGGGCACACGGGGATGGGGAGTTGGTTCCGAGGAAGAGGGCAGATTATTGGCCCTCACCTGTATCACTTGTATCAATTGTATTACTATCCACCACAGAGGCTTGCAGGGCCTCTTTGTCAAACCCCTCAAAGTCCATATAAGTCCATATCCTCACTATCATTATCACTATCACTGACTTGGGCCGGCTGTGGTGGGTGGCGGGTGAAGAACTCGGTAATGTTTTGATGACTGGGCGACCTTGTGCGCACCCTGCTCGCGCCGCTTACACAACATGGCGGATGGCGGGAGAGATGGCGGGAGGTTTGGATCCAAAAATGGCGCGGCTCGCCAGCCGCTCTCCGCATAAAGGGGTACACGCACCGCGGAATGTGAGCATTACGGTTTCGGCAGGGTACCGCGTAAACGTGGAAATGCGGAATGTGGGACCGCGTAAAGCGAGGGTTGACTGTACATAACATGGTGCATAATAAATGGAAATATTACATAGGATTCATACATGTTCTGTAATACTTTACTATACATGGGTAATATAAGAATACACAGCTTAAGGTACTACTTCGTGTCCATATTATACAATTATTACTAAAGGTAATGACTGACTGGTTAAGACAAAGTATAACCAATAATTTAGATGGATCTTGGAAATTAATGGAATTTATTAAATCATCATTTACCAAGTATAAATCACATGAATTGTTGAGTGGTGGAGTGAATTTCTACATAGATACACCATAAGCTCCTGTAAGTAACCAGTGTGAAGGTATTTAACTCTGTGGTAAGAAATTAAGAAATACATACATACACATATATCCATCTCCATAAATTCCATGACAGCTTACTTTGAGACCCTACTGTATTTACCTTTAAGTGACTCTTTATTTATGGATTACAATGTGTATTATAGTGTCTTACTCATTAAACCATTAATGTTAGAATTTGTAAACCAGTTCCATTTTATGACATAGCATTTGATACTGTTTATAGTGATACAAATGAAACTTCAGTACTGTACCTCAACCAGATATCAGTAAGACACTACCTCTTCAATGGTGGTTTGACCAAAGACCATCAAACTGCTAGCTGATAATTGCAATAGTCACTATTTCAATATCAATTACACACTAAAGAAATTATGTACAGTACAGCACATAACTGATACTTACTGTAAATCATTTTCCAGTCACCAATCCTAATTGCAGCACTGTTTAAAACAGGGTCAATGTTCACTAGAAACTCCTTACGGGGTGAGAGAAGATCCTGAGTTAATGTTTTCCATAAATCTATTCCATCAATTGATCCCAAGGAAGAGAGGTTACCGCCTGAAACATTACAAACAATTCCATTATATATAATTATATAACCCATTATCCCATCCTACTTTCACTCTTTTTCTTCTCTCTTTAAATATTTCATATCATTTCTTTCCTAAGCATAACATTTCGCTTCTATCCACCCCTAATGCACTCTTCTTTTGTTAAATTGTTTGCAATTCTCAAACAATTCCTTTGCTTTACTGCACTGTATTTAATTTATACAGTATATTATAACAGATGAAACAAATGATTTATCCTAAGACCCATATTTCAAATGGAACACAAACCCAGATAGCTCTCATAATACCGGGCTCTTTCCATAGGGTCTTTGAGCCATGAAACAGGATTTGCAATGTCAACCAGAGTTAATCTGTTAAGTTATTGAATAGATAAATTACCCTTCCCTTTGTTCTGTGCCGTTGGTTTTAAATGAAGGAGTAATGACACAACAATTGTTTCTTAAGAAATGAAGGTCAAACAAAAGCCTGAATGAATCTGAGTGAATACAGGTTCAGTTGACCCCTCATAATTCAGTTCCAACTAACTAGTCATGAAACTGAGGAAGTTGGAAGGATTTCTGAACTGTGTGGCTTCTTTTTCCATTAAAGAGAGGGACTTGGGGATTACTCTCTATTATTAACAAACAACCTAAGCTAGGCAGCTCTCATAACCCTAGGCCAGCTAAGATAAAGCAACAGTAAAGTATTATACAGTGGTCCCTCGGTTAACGAACTCAATTCGTTCCAGAGGGTCGTTCGTGAGCCGAAAATTTCGTTAACCGAAACCATCATTTCTATGGGATATTGGGTAATTGGTTCCAGCTCACAGAAAAGTATATACAAAGTAAAGCCAAAAATGTATAAAGTCAGAAACACTCCTAAAATTCCCCTAAATTACCCTTAAATCACTATATATATATATATATATACAGTGGTCCCTCGGTTAACGAGCGCCTAGGTTAATGAGATTTCGGTTAATGAGTTACCTCCCATAAGATTCTTAACTTCGGTTAACGAGCAACCCCTCGGTTAAAGAGTTTCTTACGAGCCGACCTCAACAAGTTTTGGCTTGCACTTGGCGGTCAACCAGCTTTAGTATTAGTCCGCCAATACGTTAATCGTTTCTAGGGCTTAAATTCCTAACTATTTTAGTAAATATCAAGAAGTTTATACTATTCAATAATTTTAAAAGTTTAATATTAAATTTTTTAGTCATTTTAACAATTATTGAACATAATTGAAAGTAAAGTGACTAGTTTAATGCGCGGCATCCAGCCTCTTAACACAGCAAACAAGCGTTGGTCTCTCTCTGTTTTCACTGGAGGTAACATCTTGCTTGAGACTCTCTTCAACAAAACACTTTTTTTCTGTTTCCAAGCAAATTATTGGTCATTTTGAAATTTATTTTACATATTGACAATATATAGCGCAGTGCAGTGTTATTTTAAAAATATTCTTTATTTACAACAAGTTTAACTTTAAAAAACACGTGTTGACATTGTTTGAATCCAGCACGCTGGCCTAAGAGATCAAGAAAAGTGATTTCAATCCAAACCAAGCAGGAAATCATAAAAAAACATGAACAAGGCATTAGAACAAATGCGCAATGCAAAGAATATGGCATGTTGACATCAACTGTGTCGACAATTCTTGCACAGAAAGACAAATTTAAAGAAATGAAAGTGAGAGACAAATCTACAAGAGTGTTTAAAAGTAGATCCCTAATTGCAGAAACTGAGAGGTTACTTATCATCTGGATTAGGGAAAAACAGATGAAAGGTGATTCAGTTTCTACTGAATTCATTTGTGAAAGAGCCAGGGAGATTTACGAACATTTAAAGACAGATCAACCTGGTTTTCAGGCACAGAATTTGAAGATTTTCGGGCCGGCAAAGGCTGGTTCGAAAAATTTAAGAAAAGAAGTGACATTTTCAGTGTTGTTAGGCATGGTGAAGCTGCTAGTGCTGATAAGGAAGGGGCAGCAAAGTTTTTAGTTGAATTTAAAGAACTGATGGAAGAAGAAAATTATCTTCCAAAACAAAGTGTTCATTGTGGACGAAACTGGGCTGTTCTGGAAAAAGATGCCCAAAAGAACATTCATCACCAGAGATGAAGCCTCTTTACCTGGGCATAAACCCATGAAAGACCGTCTCACTTTGTTGCTTGGTGCTAATTCTTCAGGGGATTTCCAACTGAAGCCTATGCTTGTCTACCACTCTGAAAACCCCAGGGTGTTCAAGCAACATAAAGCGGTAAGAACAAAGCTTGGAGTTTATTGGAAGTCCAACCGTAAGGCATGGGTGACAAGACAGCTCTTTAATAAATGGGCTGTTGATGTGTTTTGCCCTTCTGTCAAGAGCTACCTAACCACCAATAAACTCCCTTTAAAGGCTCTTCTCCTCATGGATAATGCTCCTGGTCATGACCCTGACCTTGCCAGAAATTTGGAGTATCAATTTGACTTTGTGAAAGTGTTGTTTTTGCCTCCAAACACTACATCAATCATACAGCCAATGGACCAGAATGTGATCAGCAACTTCAAGAAGTTGTACATGAAGAAAATGTTTAGGAGGTGTCATCAGGCAACTTCCAATGATCCTGGACTAACACTGAAACAGTTCTGGAAGACACAATTCAACATCCTGGAGGCTGTAAAATTGATTGTGTCATCATGGCAAGAAGTCTCCACTAGATTCCTCCATTCTTCATGAAAAGCACTGTGGCCATCAGTAGTCCATGATTTTGAGGGATTTGAAGAAGAAACAGTTGGACCAGGAGATTGTGTCCATTGGTCAGTCATTGGGCCTCGAAGTGGAGGAGTAGGATGTGGAAGAGCTTGTGATGTCTCATGAGGAGGAACTTACTCCTGATGACTTGAAGCAACTGGATGAGATGTTACAGACAGAGGCTGACAGTGGTGAGGAGGAAATTGAAAGTGATGACCGTATGTCAGCTAAACAGTTGAAAGATGTGATTTATTACTGGGAAAAGTTCAGGGAACTGGCTTCAAAGCACCCAGAAGTGGAAAAAACTGAACTAACTTTGAGTCATGTTGAGGACTCAGTGGTCTTCTTTAAACATAAGTTAATGGTGAGGAGGAGAGATGCCCCAAAGACCACAATTGACACTTTCTTCAGTAAAAGGCAGAGGGAACAAGATGCTATCCCTCAGCCTTCCACTTCAAGAAGGAGAGAGGATGTTCATGGTGGAGAATCTGTCAGTCCAGAGGTTCCTGACATTTTCATGGAAGGTGACTCACCTTCCAAGAAGCAGTAAAATGCTTCTCCTCCACCTCCACTTCCTTCTCTTCTCCCTTCTCCTCCACCTCCCACTTCAAATTTACATCATCATCATCATCCAGGAGCCTTCTACATACACACCTCAAGGTAAGTGTCCATTTCTAAAAAATTTTGTTGAATTTAGGCAATTTTCGGTGAGCTGGAACCAATTACCCAAAATCCCATTGAAACAATGGTTTTGGTTAACGAGCAACCTGCTGGAATGGATTGTGCTCGTTAACCGAGGGACCACTGTATACTGCACGTACATATACTGTACACTCTTACTCTTAAATCACTATTGTAATGTGATACAGGTGATTAATCTTTATCTCTTGTGCAAAATATATGACGTTTATATTCAAATTATTCACTGTCTTGCAAGGATTCCAGCAATGCAAATTATATTCTCCTAACTTCAGTCTGAGATATTATATAAGATAAAAACCGTAAGCCTAAACCCTGGCTGGGTGGGGGGGGGGGGAGGTTGAGGTGATATGTTTGACAGTTTGAGCCGAAGGTCTCTGTGTGTTTATTTAACAGTCCTACTAAGCTTCTCTCATTTTAAAATGCCAGTGAAATGACCAGGGAGAATAAAATTAACATTGCTGGAATTCTTATAGTGATTAATTTGAATATAAAGAAGCTATAATTTGCATTAGACATACAAATTTTAGATCTAATTTAAGAATTTTGTTACAGACAGCAAAATTTTTTATCTCTTGTGCAAAATATATGACATTTATATTCAAATTATTCGCTGTCTTGCAAGGATTCCAGCAATGCAAATTATATTCTCCCAACTTCAGTCTGAGATATTATATAAGATACAAACTTAAAGCCTACTGTACTGTATAACCACGAAACCTTTGCTGGGAGGAGGGGGGGGGGTTGGGAGGGAGGGAGGGGTGACAGTGACATGTTTGACAGTTAGCACAGAAGGTCTGGTGAAGTATTTAATTTGTTTATTTATGTTGTTTAATTGAGTTTTAGTTTTTTGCTCATAAAATTGCATAGAAGTGACCGGGGAGAATATAATTTACATTGCTAGAATTCTTATAAGATAGTGATTAATTTGAATGTAAACATGCCATAGTTTGCACGAGACAAAAATTTTAGTAATCATTTTGTACATTATTTTGATTACATGTACAGTTCAGCTTTGCCCTTAGGACAGTGTGTACGTACATGTAAATGAGTTTCAATAAATTAATAAAGTTACATATATCGAACCAAAAATAATAGTTGAAAAACTTTATGTAGACAGAGCTTGCATGGCTAAATTTTAGAATGACCAATAATTTTAATACTGTATAAAAAATGCACAAACATTAAAGCGCACAATATTCTTGATATTTACTCCATTGGAAATGAATGTAAACATAGAAGAGATTACTTAATTGGCTGAGTACCCCCTCAGCTTATCAGCTGATGTTCAAGACAAAACGTGATTTTCGTAAGGATTTTGTTAATCGAAAATTTTTTCGTTAACCGAATTGAAGATTCTTATGGAAGGTAATTCGTTAACCGAAATTTCGTTAATCGAAGCGTTCGTTAACCGAGGGACCACTGTACAGGTATAAAATATTTTTGAGACAAACACTCTACAGGCACTAGAGTTAAACCACTGAATTCATGTGATTGGGAATTTAGTACTCTATAACTCTTCTGTCATCTGGGAAAACCTGTCTTCCAAAATCCAGAGCCCAACATATTAGTGAACCATATACAAGAACACCTTGCAAACCCACTCATCTGCAATTTATATTTTAACACCCCTATTTAATATTCACAAAACATATCCCGCTTATTCAGAAATGAAAATTTACGATACGCTACAGTAATATTTCAAACCGAGCAGACTAGCTGCAGGTCTCATATTCCAACGTCAGGCCCATTTCACACAAGATGTTTTTCTCTGTAGGTATGGATCTGCGTAGCTTAGAAATTAATGAAGTTCAATGGGACACAGAACGCGGATAAAAATTCACGTGTGGGAGAAACTCACCCTACACCTGTGCCTGCACTCCCAAACCGTGGCATGCAAGCATATTTTACCACACATCAGTTGTGGTGCATCTGTGGTAGGGGCTGAAATTGCCTGTGATTATTTTTGTCAGATTTAGGTGAACTGAAGAGTGAAAAACATGCCTGTGTTAACACATACCTTTTCCTGCGTGGGGAAAAAAACGTTCGTGTGAAGTAGGCTTCTGTAAGGCCCTACGTAATGAACTTGTGTGTGTGAACTTGGCAGGTTGCCAACCTCTTTTACTTTTAGCCTCTTACCACTGACTGGCTCGTTAGCCGCTTGGGCAATCGGTCACGTCTCTGTCACACACTGTTGGCAAGTACTGGGCATGCACTGGCTCCTGAATGTCCCTGAACCCGCTCCAGTGCTGGTCAAGTCTGGTCTTGAAAGAGCTCACACTCAGTGCAATCACAACACTGTCTGGCAGATTGTTCCAAATAGCTCACAACTCTCAATTCGAAAAAGTTACCCCTCACAGTTTTCTGGGCTTACGACTTCTTCAACCTTGAGCTGTGACCTCTTGTGGGGCGAGCATCCGCCAGTGCCCTTTGAGATGTTTATACACCTCAATTAGGTCCTCCCTTGTCCGTCTGTAGTATAAGCTAGGCAATTTCAGGCGCTCTAATCTCTCAGGGAAGCTGAGGTACCAAAGTGCAGGCACTTTGTTCAGATAATACTATTGATTGAGCAGTAACTCAGATTTATTGGATATAGGGTTTATAAAATTATTTCTCCTAATGAAAATGCACTCACTTGCCCATCCAACCTATTTGGACCAGCTAACAGACCCCTGAATAGTGTCAACTAGAAAATGTCCAAGGATCTTCATTTCTACAGTATCAACATATGCCATAATGTATAGCTACTCCTCGACTTACGACATACTCGACCTACGACCACCTCAGTTGTACCAAAATTTTGTCAAATCACGTATTTTCGAGTCCCAACGTTAGTGATTGTGCTGTGTACTGACAAAATTTTCGTTTCCAATTCACTTTAAAATGGCTGGCAAGCTTAAAAGTGAGAATTTTGTGGTGCTGAGAAGAAAAAGAGACACCCATTTTAGATTTTCTATGTATTATTTAAGCATTTTCGACTTATAACCAATTCGACTTGCGACCTGGATTTGGGTCCCTAACCCCGTCGTAAGTCGAGGAGCAGCTGTATGAGACTTCACGCCTTGTTATGCAAGGAATGCTCCTTACATTCTCATTAAAAATTCTGAGATACACCCACCTGTTTTTCCTCATGGGGTTGTTGCCTCAAATGCCAAACAATATCATAAATATTGTTTTAGGTTGTATATACTGTAGCAAAATTCAATTTCAGTAAGTCTAGGAGTAAGGAATTAATTGTTTTATGGAATTAATAACTGCCAAAAAATAATTACACACTGTACCTGCTGCAGAAATAAGTGTGGGTAACCAATCAGTAATATGAACCATCTGGTGGGCAACCCTACCAGGGTTTTGTATGTGAGGAGACCACAATAGTCCAGCACCTCTGACTCCACCTTCCCATACTGAGGCTTTCACCTGAAAATGTTCAGACATTATAGATTAAAATTCAATTCTATACTTAAGGGGAAGAAAATTATATACTGTACTAAATTATCCCATGGCAGAGTCCACCCAATTAGAATGAATGCATACCTCTTAGTACACAGTGCACTCACTGAATGAGAGTGGTGTAAATTGATTGCTGCTGAACAAATCAATGCCTGCTTCTGCTAGTTTTGAAAGCTTCAAATAGACAGATGTGTATACTCCACCACGGTACTAAGTCTTTTTAACTTATTCTTGACTTATAATGTCAGGAAAAAGGCCTGCAAGTAATATTGCATTTATCAGGTGAAGCAGTTAATGAAGAGCATTAGTATGGATGTAAAAATGCATGTCACGGTATGTGCATTAGGTTAATACTGGTGAAGCTTGGGTTTGGCTACATCAACCATTTAATCCATTCTCAAGAATGCAGACAGGATAAAAGCTTCTGCACAATCCAATTCTTCATTAACAATGACCATGACAACTCATTCTAGGTGCATATTGCTGGAGAAGATGAAGAGTTAGTTGAGCTTCTTGTAGAAGTAAAATAATATTTGGAGTGATGGAAGATGGTGGTCAATCTTATGCAAGCTGTAACTGGTGAGTATAAAACTTACTGTATTTCTTTTATATCCACAAGAAGACAACTTCAGGTTTGCCAAGGTACCATGCAGGATGAAAATACTGTTAGGAAGTACTTCTACACAGAGGGCAGTAGACCTATGGAACAGTCTATCAGCATAGGCCATGGAAACAATGACAACACTGTACTGGGGGTGGATACTAAAAAATCACCTCATGCATTACATAATCGGCAATCTTGTAACCAACTTACAGTATTCATACTTACAAGCTGCTAACAATATGATAAATTTCCCAGACTCAAAACTATTTTGCAATGTTGTAAGGGTATTGTAACTCAAATGTAAATATTGTGGAGCAAGTCTTCATGCTGGCCAGTTGGCCAATCACATTTATACTTTTAACCCTTTAACCTTCTCACGCACAAAATAAATGTTAAGTTTTCCAGTTCCAAGATCACATTACTGAGGCCCCCAGGGCAGGTGAGACAGCACATGGTGAATATTTTGTTTTGCTCTATCAATTTCCCCCAAAAAAAGTTTTATTGGCATAAACCATATATCTTTGGCTTAACAATTGATCTGCAACATAAGTCCCCAAAAGTTTTTATTGGCATAAACCATATATCTTTGGCTTAGTAACCAATTGATCTGCAACAAGCCCCCAAAAAAAGAATATTAAAGTATATAGTGTTACGAGTTGGGGATTTAGAATATAGTTATACGTCTACCCAGATCCCAACAGGTAACAAAAAAAAAAAACAAAGACAATCGGACTATAAAAGGGTAGACAAAGGATGCGAGTTTTCGTTGTGTATAATAAAGTACCATAAATCCCTAAACAAAATATTCAGCTTATAAATTACCCTTAACCAAACTTAACCTAAACATTAACAGTATATACATATTAATACAACATAAACAATTTTGAAGCAAGTGGACGTGGGGGAGGCAATACAAGATACAAGTACTTAAGTGAGGAGCTGAGATGGCTGACGAGTAAGGCTGAGTATTGTAGAAGACGGTAGGTAGTCACTGCACCGTAGGTTTAGAGGATAGATGATCCTGTGGTCACTTCCCAGAGCCAAGTCTCTCTCCTCGAATTGGAGCTCACAAAGAAGACTTGGAGGAAGTGACGCAACAACCAGGATATGGAGAAGGGAAACCCCGGAGTGTTAACTAAGACGAGTCATACTCGTGTCTCGTCCCTAGATGGCGTTGCTCGTGGTGCTGGGTAGGTAGATCAGGACAATAGATGGCGTGGTTCGTAGTGCTGGGTGGAGGGGTTCGTAACACACCCCCCCTCCAAAGACCTCCGTAGCGCGGGCGCGAAGGAGGTGATCAACTGGTGCGTCTGGAGAGTAGCTGCTGCATTTCCACTGGAGCTCGGGATAAGGAGTCTGCAATCAGGTTGTCGACCCCCTTTATGTGCCGGACTTGTAGATTATAGGGCTGGGTGAGGAGAGCCCAGCGGAGGATTCGCTGGTTGGAGGTCTTGTTGGTTTGGATGAACGTGAGTGGGTTATGGTCGGTGAAGACTAGGGTTGTTTGTGGGCAAGACTGGAGGTAACATTCAAACTTCTTTATTGCCAACACCAGAGCCAGGGCCTCCTTCTCTATGGTCGAGTAGTTGGTCTGATGTTTTTTCAACTTGGCGGAGTAATATGCCACAGGGTGAAGACATCAGTGGTTGGGTCAGGTTGTAGGAGCACAGCCCCCACTCCGACACCACTAGCGTCGATTTGCAGATGGAAGGGCGAGGTGTAGTCAGGGGGGTGGACTACAGGCTTGGAGGCAAGGAAGGCTTTGAGGCGGTGGAAAGACTGGTCGCACTTCTGGTTCCAGATGTAAGGGACCGCAGAACTGGTAAGGTCTGTGAGGGGTCCGGCCACGCTGGAGAAGTTACTGCAGAACCGACGGTAGTAGCCGCACATCCCCAGGAAGCGCATGAGTTCCTTCCTCGTCCTTGGAGTGGGGAAGGATAAGATGGCTCTAACGTTTGCGTCCTTGGGTCTCACCATACCATGCCCAACGATATGTCCCAGGTAAGTCACTGATGCCCGGCCAAAAGCAGATTTAGCCAGGTTTATGGTGAATCCAGTCTCTTGCAGTCGTGCAAACAGTATCTCCAAACGCACCAGATGTTCGTCCCAGCTGTCCGACACCACCACCAGGTCATCCAGGTAGGCGAACGTCCCACCTAGGTCATGAATAAGGTAGTTGATGGCCCTCTGGAATGTGGCCGGAGCATTAGAAAAGCCAAACGCCATAACCAAATATTGAAAAAGACCAAATGGAGTTATAAATGCCGAGATTATTTTTGCCCTATCCGTGAGTCCCACTTGATAATATCCTTTCAATAGGTCCACGGTACTGATAAATTTGGCACAGCCTATGCTGTCTATTATATCTTCAATCAAAGGTAAAGGGTAGGAGTCTGAGACAGTGACCTGGTTCACTTTACGATAATCGGGACAGAAACGAAAAGTGCCATCGGGTTTTGGAATGAGAAGGCAAGGTGAAGCCCAGGGGGAGGTACTAGGCTCAGCTAAGTTATGTTTTAACAAAAAATCTACCTCCTTTTTCATAATCTCTTTTTTTTGTGGATTTAGTCGATATGCTGATTGCCTAATGGGTTGTACATCATCTGAGATTAGCTTAATATCATGTTTAAGTATATTGCAAAACCCTGGGAGGTCTGACGTGACTTTAGGAAATGTTGATAATAACTTAGTGAGATCTTTTGCTTGAGATGGATTCAGAACAGAAAAATACTCATCCAAGTTGTTGAGTATGTGACTGTTAGCAGGGTTTTCTTTAGGTAGAGGGAAGTCTAAATTCTCCAATAGGTCCATGTCATCTGTCTCCGGCTCCGGGTCCTGTCACGGTCGCCATTTGTTACGAGTTGGGGATTTAGAATATAGTTATACGTCTACCCAGATCCCAACAGGTAACAAAAAAACAAAAAACAAAGACAATCGGACTATAAAAGGGTAGACAAAGGATGCGAGTTTTCGTTGTGTATAATAAAGTACCATAAATCCCTAAACAAAATATTCAGCTTATAAATTACCCTTAACCAAACTTAACCTAAACATTAACAGTATATACATATTAATACAACATAAACAATTTTGAAGCAAGTGGACGTGGGGGAGGCAATACAAGATACAAGTACTTAAGTGAGGAGCTGAGATGGCTGATGAGTAAGGCTGAGTATTGTAGAAGACGGTAGGTAGTCACTGCACGTAGGTTTAGAGGATAGATGATCCTGTGGTCACTTCCCAGAGCCAAGTTCTCTCTCCTCGAATTGGAGCTCACAAAGAAGACTTGGAGGAAGTGACGCAACAACCAGGATATGGAGAAGGGAAACCCCGGAGTGTTAACTAAGACGAGTCATACTCGTGTCTCGTCCCTAGATGGCGTTGCTCGTGGTGCTGGGTAGGTAGATCAGGACAATAGATGGCGTGGTTCGTAGTGCTGGGTGGAGGGGTTCGTAACAATAGCTATTTTTCGTCACTTCTAATAAACAAACATGAGACAAAAATGCACACCAAAACATTCACAACCTCCTAGCTAAATTGTCTGAGCCTACTTTTTAATAACTATATACTACTATAAGTAGAATTTTATGAGCTATCTAATGCAGTAATCAGATTGCTGATATATAACCAATAGTTTTTTAGAAAATAGCAAAAGACTGATTCTCAAGGTAAATTTTTTTTTTGTATCTATGTTTTATATCGATATAAATTACAGTTGTACCCCGCTTAACGCGGTCAATTGAACCCACAGGGTACCGCGTTAAGTGAACAACAGAACATATGGGATTAATTCCAATAGAGACTGGCCCGACCCCCAAACTCCACTTTTTGACGACACACAACTATTTTCTAGTAAAAATAACATCTTAATTTTATGATGGTACATGCACACAATTAATACTTAAGAGAATAGAGAAATACAGTCGCCAAGTTAATGTCCATTCAAATAATGGACTCGACTCCCTCCCCCTCTTCTCACACTACACTCGCTGGCTCTTCCCTCTCTGAGAAATTTTTGGGGGAAAACCACTAGATTTTAATAAATAATACCTCAAACTAAAGTTAGGATAATATAATTGACATTGCAGGATTCCTTGTAAGACCAGGAATATTTTGAATATAAATGTCATATATTTTGCACAAAAGATAACATATTTACTCAGAGTAAACATTATACAGTAATACCCCGCTTAACGCGGTTTCGCTTAGCGCGTTTTACCGTATACGCGGTGCCTCGCCAGAGCCGAACTTTCACTTAACGCGGGTTTTTTCCACGTATACGCGGTGAGTGTCCGGCTCGAGACGCTATTTTTAGATTCGCCCCACCCGCCTGCCTGCCTGCTCTCGCCTCTCCCTCCGCCTGGGCAAGCCGCGCTGTAAGGTTGCGCAGTGTGTGTCTTCTACTAACGTAAGTGTTACACCTAACTTTTAATTTTCCTAAACTAACCTTTATTTTTCCTAACTTAACCTTTATTTTTCCTAACCTAACCTCTTCTATATTACTTGTTTGTTCATACCATCATAAAGTTAAGATAAAATTTTTACTACAACATAGTTATGTGTCGTCAAAAAGTGGAGTTTGGGGGTCGGGCCAGTTTCTATTGGAATTAATCCGATATGTTCTGTTGTTCACTTAGCGCGGTTTTCACTTAACACGGTACCCTGTGGGTTTTATTGACCGCGTTAAGCGGGGTACTACTGTATCTAAAATTTGTATGTCTAATGCAAAATCTATGATGTTTATATTCAAAATGATCATCAAATTGTAAGAATTCCAGCAATGTAAATTATATTCTGGCCGGGTAATTTGTATGAATTTTATGAGCTAAAAAAAATATCTTCAGTTAATAAAAAAAAAAATATTCTTCACGACACTATCTGTCAATCAAAGTACCCCACCCTGCCTCCCCCCCCTCTTTCAACCGCGCCAGATGGTTGGTCCGTCCCAACCCTCCCCCCACCCCCCACCAACCCTCCCTACCAGAGAAGCTTTGGGAGAAAATAGTAATTTACATTTTTAGTAATAAATAATAACTCAGATTAAAGTTAGGATAATATAATTGACATTGCTGGATTCCTTGTAAGACCAGGAATATTTTGAATATAAATGTCATATATTTTGCACAAAAGATAACATATTTGCTCAGAGTAAACATTATATCTAAAATTTGTATGTCTGATGCAAAATCTATGATGTTTATATTCAAAATGATCATCAAATTGTAAGAATTCCAGCAATGTAAATTATATTCTGGCCGGGTAATTTGTATGAATTTTATGAGCTAAAACAAATATCTTCCGTTAATAAAAAAAAAAAAATATTCTTCACACCGTGCCAGATGGTCGGTCGGTCCCTTCCTCCCCCCCACCCCCCACCAACCCTCCCTACCAGATGTGTGGGAAAACCAGAATATTTACCTTTTTAGAAATAAATAATACCTCAAACTAAAGCTAGGATAATATAATTGACATTGCTGGATTCCTTGTAAGACTAGGAATATTTTGAATATAAATGTCATATATTTTGCACAAAAGATAACATATTTACTCAGAGTAAACAAAATACTTACATTAGATCTAAAATTTGTATGTCTAATGCAAAATCTATGATGTTTATATTCAAAATGATCATCATATTGTAAGAATTCCAGCAATGTAAATTATATTCTGGCCTGGTAATTTGTATGAATTTTATGAGCTAAATAAAAAAAAAAATTATACTTCACCGCGTATATGAGTAGATGAACCGCGTTAAGTGAAAGTTCGGTTCTGGCGAGGCACCGCGTATATGAGAAATCGCGTTAAGTGAAACCGCGTTAAGCGGGGTACAACTGTATATTGTATCTTGTAACCAACACTATAAAAAAGAGAATGGTACTGATAAAATTCATGTACCGGGTAAGTCTAGAAAATCATCCTCTTTCAGACTTTTTTTTTGAGACATTGTCACTGTAACGAGGTTGTACAGCCTGATTGCAAGGACGGTAACGAGCAGGGTGGTTGTCCGCCGCTCGTTTGCTTGTTCACGGCCCCCACTGAGGGGGGGGGGGGTGTAGACAGAGGTGAGAAGGTTACTGCTGCTTCGTCACACACCAGACACTACTCAGCCGTCAACACAGCTGTACTTGCACCCCGCTGTTCGTTCGAATTCTGGTTGTGTGCTCATCTGAAGCTCGTGGGCTCGTGGGCTGATTCCCCAGACCTTCACTATTCAGCTGTCAACCCCCGGACACCTGCTCCAGCTACTACCGCGGCTGCCACGTCATCGCCACATCCTCCACGCTCTATCCACCATCTGTGCCCTGGAATCTCTCCTGTGTGGCAAGACATCGCCCACCCACGCCGGCGCCAAGTGAGGAAGCTGCCCCCCCCCGAGAGCGGATCACCGCTTTACCAGAGCATCCCACTTGGCTGCCGCCGTAGGAAATATCCATCAATTGTTGACTCCCGTAATTGTTTATTTGATATTTGTGTGAGTGGTGTCATTTTTTTTTTTTTGAAGTAGTAAAGAGATGTCAATCTCTAACGGTTGTTTGTTATCCCTCGGATAACCATGGTGCTTGACTTTTCTCTTATAAGATCCTGATTAGGCTGGCAAGGGATTTATATCCTTAGTCCCAGATCCTTTACACTGATGCGGTAATGGCTTTGAAAACTAAACACTTTCCCTATAAATATGAAAAAAAAATTACATTATACAACCATTACTTCACTTCTCTAACACTAAAAATAAATTATTTCAGGGAGTATGGTAAACACTGTAATCCAGGAATTGAGGCAGCCCGCACGGAGTTATGAAAATTTAAATGGACGCAGCTCATACTCACGGTCTGACTGCTGAGATAATACTGTGTATTTATTGTTCTGGTCTTCCCTTCCTATGGGCCTCGAGAGTTGCCAATTAGTTTATTTGATAGAACTCACTACTATGACTTATCAAAATTTGACACAATTCTGTTGAAAACTTACCGTAATTTTTGCTGAATTTTTTAAAGTTTGGTGACTCGATTTGAGTCACCGTGAAGTTGGTCTTATCATGGAATATGACGCGAATCGTGTCATCACGAGCGAGAGGGTTAACTGCTACCATCGTCTTTGCCAGATTTACTCAAATCACACCATTGTCATCTTTAGATAATTGGCATTTGGTGCCATGAATTTAAAGATGTGCACCAAAAGTCATACTATGACTGGAAAGTAGATGATTCATAGAGACTTTAGATTAGAGTGAGACACAAGGTGTAGTATTTCCCCTATATGTGATAGTCTGTTATACAATGCAGCGGTTAATGGGGCGTCAGTTTTCAGGGTACACCTGTATTTCAATTGAAATTTTTATTGATATTATTGGTATTTTATGATTATTATTTTGAGTTATGGGTTGATTATAGTTAGAATGTCCTGAAATAATGGTAGACTTGGGTCTGGGGCCAATTAGACACTGCATGTCAGCTGTAGATGCTGTTAATAGGGAGGTTTGCCATATATATTTTTCTATAACAGTGTCATTACTTAGGAGTTGCTGGAATAACAGCTCAAAGAGTTAACATGTATAGCATTCACTCTGCACTTAATTTTAACTCTGAGCTGTACAATTTAGGACTCATGGCAGGTCCCTCAAGGTTCACTTCCACCAACCCCTTATATCCCATTAGACCCAGCTTGTTCCAACCATAGTTTTGCCACCTGTGGGAGAATTCTAGAAAGTAACCTCTGCAGTTGGCAATTGATTATTATAATTAATAAAAATAAGTCAGTATCTCTTAATAAATCTAAACATTTGTTTGTTCAGTTCTAAGTCATAAACTAATGGCACAGTGATTTTTCATTTGGATATCCTGGAAAAAAATATGTCTATTTTAGTATTGTGTTACTATTGTAGAGTATATTTATATTAAATGTTAAAACTAATAAAAGCAAAGGCAAGACTTACCCCTCTCAGTGGCCAATTTGATGCGGCATTCTGGTTGAAACCCGCTGCTGGACCACCATTGTCAGTGGTGAAGAGGATTACAGAGTTGTAAAGCATTCGGCGAGCATCTAAAGCCTCTACAACACGCCCAACAGATTCATCCAATTTCCACAACATTCCTGATACATAATATTAAAGAGAATTCAATTTTAAGTAAATTAAGAAGAAGCCGTTTTTTTTCTAAAAATCAGTTTTTGTGATATAGCTCGGAATGCGACGCTCAGCAATGTTACCTAGGTATGTTAATTCCTAGTTAACTCGCCAGGCCAACATACAGACAATTAAAACATCTAATAATTACTTAATAAGTAAAATTAGGAAATGTCGCTACCTGGCATTTAATTGCAATTCTCAAAACCCCCTCCTTCACCCCCCTATTTGTTGCCAATAAGGGGCACAGACATTATCCCCAAAGTAATAACTTAGGCGAAAATTTCTACGTGAGCACTATCACCCGGCAGGGTTGACAGTGCTGAGTCGCTAACATAGCGCTCTATTGGCAACAGCGTTCACTATTACTCTAGCAATATTTATTGGGTTGAGAATTCCACTCGGAATTGTTCTCAAATAACCCATATAAGGATGTAAAGTCCATTTCAACATAACTCTAGATTGCTAGGAAGACCGGAAGGTCAACATTCCGGAAGGAATGCTAAGTCTAGCAGCCTCGCTAAAGTATGCCTGGAAAGGCAGAACCCGCTACTGAGGACATCAATAAAATAAAGTTATGAAGAGAAAAACTCAACTCTGGTCTTTATGCTGAGAGCAATTAGAAAACCGAGGGCGGAAGCCAAAAGGTTTTTTGTGAACAAACATAAGAGTAGGAAGAGAGACAGTCATGGCATTCATACTAGCACGTGAATAATCGGGACAAAGAAAACCGTAAACAGTATACGTACATATATATGTATGTGCTGATAACCACAAGGAAAGAAGAAAACACGAAGTTCCCAAGCGCTTTCGTGTAATTCACATCTTCAGGGGTGAGTACAGACTAGATCACGCGCACCTACAGTGATTTACTTGCATATATATGTATATATAAATAGATATATTCACATATTCTATTTCAGTGAAGACGAGCCCAGGAGGGCGCAGCGACATTCACTGAGTGACTTAAAGGCAATGAATAGTCACAACGATCTAAACGACTTCACAGAGAAGACGTGTTGTGGTCGCCAAGATGCTGACCAGAGATCGTATAAGAAATTGTCCCAAATACAATAATTGAGAGACATAACAAAATAAAAGACACTCTACTTCATCACTGTGCTAAGAAGTACAAATACCGTATATAAAATCATCGCGGAGCTTAGTATTTCAGCTGAATCGCCAGGCAATAGAAGGAAGGTCGTGATGCGTATGGTGTGGGGTGAAGGAGGGGGTTTTGAGAGTTGCAATTAAATGCCAGGTAGTGACGTGTCCTCCTAATATTACTTATTAAGTAATTATTAGATGTTTTAATTGCCTGTATGTTGGCCTGGTGAGTTAGCTAGGAATTAACATACCTAGGTAACATTGCTGAGCTTCGCATTCCGACTTGAACAAAACTAAAGAAAATGGCCATAAAACTGAAAATGATGATAATGAGCATTAATCATAAGACATCTGTTCTTGAGAAGGTAACATCAGTTTTACTGTACCGTATTCTAAAACTTGTTTATCCTTTTTTCTTAGTTTCACTGTACAGTAAAGCCTCCGATAACAACGGCTCGACCAACAACTTTTTATATTTAAAACCCTAGTTAATTTAGGACCCAATTCAATTTACGTCCTTATTTCATTCGTATATATGACCAAAATATAATAAAAAAAATAAAATTACATTTTCATATAAATAATAACTAAATCCCAATATGAATGATAAAAAAAAAAATAATTACTGTAAAAAAATGAAGAGTGCCTCGCACAAAGAAGCTGCCTTGCTAATGAGTGGTAAGCAGCAGTCGGAGCTTGGCGGGCCTTTTGTTTTCACACACCTGGTGAATAGAATTTTAGTTTTACATTCGTAAATATTATTTAAAACATATATGAACAGTATACAAGTGTTGCTTTCATATTCATATGTGGAGAAATGAAGAAATGTTTTCACATGTACACACTTACTGTGCATACGTTGCAATTCCCAATCGTCTAGCCTTATTTCTTTACCATTTATTAACATTAAATAGCATTACTGAAAACATATCATACAGGTATTCAATTTTTTTAAATTAAGTTCACTACAGTTAAAACCAGGGTCTTATTTTCTTCAGTTTCTTATGTAGAACCATCGTCACTCATGAAAACAATGCCGTCTTGTCTCCTCTTGTGTGTTTTAATATTCTACGTATTATTAATGAATTGCATTGTTCATTTCACATATATAAACATTAATTCAATCAAATACATATTCAGTAATAAACAATAATGAATCTTTTGTACATATTCTTAAGATAAATGACTACATTTCCTTGAGTGCACACGTATACATTGGGTGTAAACACTGACAACAATGTCATCTCTTATCCTCTTGTGAGTTTTAATATTCTACGTTTTAATGAATTGTATTGTTCATTTCGCATATACTGTATAAAGATTAATTCAATCAAATACATAATCAGTAATAAACAGTAATGAATCTTTTGTACATATTCTTAAGATAAATGACTATGTTTCCTAAAATGCGCACGTATATGTTGGCATTCCCTATCCCTCTTTTTTTTTCTTTGCCATCAGTGGTTAGCTACTTCGATTGTTCCATTTATTAACATTAAATAACGTTACTTAAAACATATACAGTCAACCCTCGCTTTACGCGGTCCCACTTTGCGCGTTTCCACGTTTACGCGGTACCCTGCCGAAACCGGAATGCTCACTTTCCGCGGTGTGTGTACCCTTTTACGCGGAGAGCGGCACGAGCAGGGTGGGCACAAGGTCGCCCAGTCATCAAAACATTACCGAGTTCTTCACCCGCCACCCACCACAGCCGGCCCAAGTCAGTGATAGTGATAATGATAGTGAGGATATGGACTTATATGGACTTTGAGGGGTTTGACAGAGAGGCCCTGCAAGCCTCTGTGGTGGATAGTGATACAATTGATACAAGTGAGGGCCAATAATCTGCCCTCTGCCTGGGGAACCAACCCCCCATCCCCGTGTGCCCAGCCATCATTTCTACTAATGTAAGTGTTAAAAAACCTAATATTATTGATATTTCTCTTAATTATTAATTGTGTGTGCATACCATCATAAAATTAAGAAGTTATTTTTACTACAACGTAGGTATTGTCTGAAAAAGTGGAGTTTGGGGGACGGCCCGGTCGCTATTTCAATTAATCCCATATGTTATGTTGTTCACTTTATGCGTTTCTCACTTTACGCGGGCCGTCGTGGGTTGAATTAACCGCGTAAAGTGAGGGTTCACTGTACATATATTCATTTTTATACATTAATTTTACTACAGTTACAACCAGTGTCTTATTTTCTTTATTTTCTCGTGTAGAACTATCGTCCCAGACTCCCGGCTGTAAACATAAACGAAAACAATGGCGTCCCATCTCTTGTGTGACCATATTATTATTCAATTATATTGTATAAGGTGTATTCATAAACATTATTTAAAGAATATAGTTTGCAATTTTCATTAATTGTATTGTTTTTGGGGTAAAAGAGGGTAAAAAGCCACACAAAAGATATGAAAAGGTCACACTTGGGAACGCATCTCATTATTTTTGCTTTATTTTAATGGTAATTAATGATTCATGATATGATGATTCACCTTACACTGCAGTATTGGAGGACAGATTACCGTCGTTATTCGAGGCTTTACTGTACCGTACAGTATATTATTGATCTCTGACCACTTTACTGGTTTATAGATGTTAAAACTTAAGCACTCAGCGTATATGTGTTTTTTTTGTGTAAACATAAATACATATAGGGAATGGGGGAGGATTTCCAGATACAGTAAACCCTCAAAAGTCAAGAAGCCGTAAGTCCGAATTTTGGATAGTCCGGACCTTTACGGGCAAGAAACACTTGTCCGAACCCTTATATATTAGTTGTTTGAAATTCCTGCCAGCGAGCATTCCCTTGGCCTCATTCCTTCTCTCGAACCAGTTAGTGAGAAGTTTATTCCCCCACTCTTAGAATGGACTCACTCATAATGCTGCACTGTGATTAGTTAGCTGTAAGTTCAACACACATTCAGCCACAGAAAATGGTAAGATTTTAAGTACAGGTAGTTCTGCTATAACGCGATAATTGTGTTCTCGTAAAATATCGTGTTATAGAAAATCGCGTAATAGAAATAACAGGGCTTATGGAGAAAATAGGGTTAGGTGCAGATTACTCGAAATCGAAAAAATTTAGTAGTTAGCCTAACACAAAGGATAGCACAGTCTAAATAAATGTTACATTCATATCTAATAATGAAATTATACAGTAAATTTAACACTTTACCTTGAAAAAATATGAATGTAACTTGATGGGGGAGAAGGGTGATTTTGAGGTTGATAACATCGAGCTTCTCTTCAAGTGTTATATCCTTTCTTTTACGATAATCACCGGGGAATTCTATCATCAGAACGCTTTTTGGAGATATTCTTCTTTACCATATTCACAGTTAATACCACAAAATTGAGAAATAGTAAGCAAAAATCGCGTTATAGCAAACAAGCGTTTGTTATACAAATATTGTTCGAATTCATAAATCGCGTTAGAGCAAATTCGGCGTTATCAAAACAGCGTTATAGCAGAACTCACTGTAGCGGTAAAAACAAATTCGAACAATGGTGATGGTAATCCTTCAGGGAAGCGAGGAGAAGACGAGAGCATATTGCATCATCTATATGTCACACACACAAACACTAAGCGCAGTCCAGCTGTCTCCATTATCTTGAAGTAAAATTACAAATAATATATCAAATTTTTTCTATTTTTTAATATTTTTTATATTATTAATGAAGAAAAATACACCTTAAGAGGCTGATATTAAAAAAAATATAATGAATAAATAAAAACAAATGTGGTAACGACAACAAACAGTCCCACCCCAAGCTCCCTCTGCCTTTGGGGGGGCAGTGATCACGACTGTCGGGAAGAATTACCTTGATTTGGCTTGCCCTTTCATTTTTGA